ACTAACTAACTAACTAACTAACTAACTAACTAACTAACTAACTAACTAACTAACTAACTAAATAAATAAATAAATAAATAAATAAATAAATAAATAAATAAATAAATAAATAAATCTCTTAACAACCTTCATTGTTGGAGCACCCACAACTTCTGGAGGCAAGTTGTTCCACTGACTGTTCTGTCAGGAAATGTCTCCTGAGTTCTAGGTTGCTTCTCTCCTTGATTAGTTTCCATCCATTGCTTCTTGTTCTGCCTTCAGGTGCTTTGGAGAATAGGTTGGCCCCCTTCTTCTTTGTGGCAGCTCCTTAGACATTGGAACACCACTACCCCAAATCCCAATCTTACAAGAAAGTTTGACTGACTCTTGACACCCAGCTACGCAGACTCTTTATTAGTGCTGATCAAAAGTAGTGTTAGGAAATTTTGGAGTTACTTGGAGCTCTTCGTTTCTGCAAAAATAAGTATGGAATTTTTATAATACATAAATTTCCCAACTGATGTTCATGTGAGGATGTTCCCAGAGATCCAGGGAATATTTTACTTGAAATTCTCTTATGTAGGAACTTGGGGTACCTTTTAAGAGTGACTTTTTGGGGAGGGTGTCAAACACTAAAATGGATTTAATTTATCATTATGTTTGTATTAAACTATGGATAATAAAATGTATTCCTTATATTTATTAATTTCCTTCTTGGCCACCAAAACCATAATTTAGTGCAGTGTTTTCTCAACCTTGAGAATGTGAACATATTTAGACTTCAGCTCCCAGAATTCCCCAGCCAGCATGGCTGGTTGGGGAATTCTGAGCACTGAAATTCACATATCTTAAAATTCAGATTCAAAAAGACTAAAACCAAGAGTGAAACCTTTGGCATCAGTTTGGGAGGAGAATCTTTCTGCTTGTTAACTGTTTTGCCTACAAGGAAAACAATGAAACTTTTACCACACTTTCAAGATTAGTATGAGATTGTACTTCCTGACTTCCTAACATATAGTCACTCTCATCCATGCCACAGTAGTTTCAAAATGTCACAAAAAAATGTTCCTTATTGCATCATCATGGTGGTGGTGGGGAAATACATTCCTCCCTCTGAGAAGAAATTATTTGTTTAATAGACTTCTTTTATGTAGCAATAAATTGAATAAATGTGCATGGGTCACATGTGTAGTGTTTCTTTTCCATAAAATTAGCACTATGCTAGTGTGCCTGGGCAAGGGAAGGAAGTTACATGTTTTGAGAAGTGATGTCTGAGTTCAGATGTTTAGACATGTTCCTGAGCTATCTGAGGCTTGTTTGTAGATAAGTTGTACTCTGATTGAGCAAAATGAAGGGGTGTGTTGATCCTCCCCTGTTATTGTTGAGTGGGCAGAAACACTATGACATTCTATCCTGTTTTTCTACAGGAATACAGAATGACAGAGTTGGAAGGGATCTCGTAGGTCATCTAGTCCAACCCCTCCACCCCACGCAAGCAGGAGGCCCTACACCATTTCTGACAGATGGCAGTCCTATCTCTTCTTGAAAGCTTCCAGTGATGAATATCCCACAACTTCTGAAGGCAAGCTGTTCTATTGGTTGATTGTTCTCACTGTCAGAACATTTCTCCTTATTTTTAGATTGAATCTCTCTTTGATCAGTTTCCATCCATTATTCCTTGTCTGGCCTTCAGGTGCTTTGGAAAATAGCTGAACCCCCTCCCCTCTGTGGCAGCCCTTCAAATATTGGAACACTGCTATCGTGTCTCCCCTGGTCCTTCTCTTCACTAGACTAACCATGCCCAATTCCTGTAACCGTTCTTCATATGTTTTAGCCTCCAGTCCCCTAATCATCCTGGTTGCTCTTCTCTGCACTCTTTCTAGAGTCTCAACATCATTTTTATAGTGTGGTGGATACAGTATTCTAGGTATGGTCTTACTAAAGCTTTATAGAATGGTATTAGTACCTCTGTTGATCATGATTGTATCCCTCTGTTAATGCAATTTAGGATTGCGTTGGGGTTTTTGGCTGCCGCCACACACTTTTGGCTCATATTTAATTGGTTCTCCACTAAGACTCCGAAATCCCTCTCACAGTTATTACTGTTAACCCTTATGGATGTAAACAACTAAACTCAATATGATTTGCATGCAATTTCTCCTGGAATAAAAAATAATGAATTCAAATGTCCTTGGCATTCTGGAAAGTGTTGGCTGTCTCCCAACTTCACTTCCACTTTTGAATCATGGGCTAATGAATGGACACTTTACTTTTTATATTCTGGCTGATCAGAGAAGCCACCTACGTAGCTGGGAGTCACACATGGCCAGATTTCCTCCACCATGGATATTAGTATTTGGGGAAAATATCCAAGATTCTTGTGAGCAAATCCAACCTAGGGAGGCAGATGTAATGGTCATGATGTTGATCGATTAAGACCCAGCTTGAAATCATATCTATTGTTGGTAATGAAAGCTCACAGGTTGGCTGTGTAAATAATTAGAGAAAGGAGTGCTACATATATCATCGTCCTGAACTTCTGGAGGATAGATGGAATATAAATGTAACCAAGAAATATAATGAAAATACAAATAAGTATTTGTTGAGCTGTGGCCGTACAGGACTTCTTTTGTCTCCTCAACAACAATCCTGCGAGGTAGGAGAGAGGGAGAGAGAGAGACCCAACGACACAGAGCTGATGATGGTTTTCTTGGGCAGCCAGAATTGTACAGGGTTCCCTGTTTGAGCAGGGGGTGGACTAGAAGACCTCCAAGGTCCCTTCCAAGTTCCAACTCTGTTATCATTTTATGTTTCGTCTGTACTAAAATAAATGAAGAAGGGAGATGTTCCATTCACAATACTTGTAATTAATGAATCAATTAATCAACATTCATAGATGAAAAACTGAATAATATTAGATCTAAAACAGATAAAGTAAATAGGAGTTGATTAAAAATAGAGGCAAGAGACATAGTGGAGAAGGAAGAGAATGGTTAGATTTCATAAGCCAAAGCAGGAAATGGAGCAATCTTGTTAGACCTGATAGGTAATCGCTTAATAGGAAAAGCACAATTTGTGATGGGATCAGAAGGAGCTGCTGATAATAGGGGAGATTAGCATTGTTCCAGGAATGGTATGGAGACAGCTCAGAAGAACGTGAGGTTGATGCCATCTTTGTGCCTGAAGATATGCAGAAGCGTTCTTGGTAATGGGTGTTGATCAGTCTCCCTCCTTCCATTACTTTTGGGGGCTGGGCACGTAGAAAGTTAGCACCCACCCGT